CCCCCCTTGTTTCCCTTCCCCCCTTTCCTCCCCCCTCTCTCTCATCTTTTTCCTCTCTTTTCTTTTAATGAAAGGGATGAAATAAAAATACTTGCCTACGTTTCTTTCAAGACTCTTATGGGACTGACTAAAATGATATTACTGTCTTTTGTTTGTTGGGGACTAAATCCAGGCCCTGAGTGTGCTAGGTAGGCTTTCTACTGCTGAGCTGAAACCTGCCCCATGACTTGGACACAGTAGACACAATCTGGAGCTGAGAAATCAAAGCCAAGAGCCTAGATTCCAGGAACTTTTCCCTCCACTTTTCTGCATTCCACAAAGAAACACTAAAGAATCTAAGATTGTGTTTCCCCTGGGAGACACAGAGCCTGTCTTTTTCTGACCAAACCCCTCCTCCCCAGTTCACCCAACACAGAATCACATCACAGGTGAGTGGGGTGTCATTTCCTCATAACTGCTGGGAAGCAGAAAAAGACCAGGGGAGCCCCACTTCTGACCCCTCCCACTTGCCAGGAGCAGCAAGGCAATTGAATGGAGCAGCTGCTGAACTTGAATGTCTCAACATTTATTTTACTGATTCTCCTTGAGGTTTCTGGATTGCTATCAAAATCCAGAGCTCAATGAGAAACATAGAAAAAATAAGTTACTCTAACCCCAGTTGAACTATAAACTAAGTGTTTATAATCATTTAATGACATCATCCAGACACCTCTGAGGTCAAGAATGTTACAAATATCTTGTATTGACATAATTTCTGGAACTCCAGCCTCCACCCCCATCCCCCATGAGCAACATAGGAATTTCTAAAGCTGTCTCTAGGGTATGCTGTCTTCCTTGGAAGTAGTGGAAAATCTGACAGCCAAGCGGAGGAGGCTATCTACCTAGATACAGTTTCTTTCTAGCACCCCTTGGCCCATAAAATCCACTTTCTAGTGACAAATGCTTAGCAGCCAGGAGCTGAGAACTTACAGAGAGATGGCCATTCTTTCAAGTACTTTTTTTCCTTTTAATTTTTTTCATTTATTTTAATACCAACCACAGTTTCCCCTACCTCCTCTTTTCCCATTCCCTCCTCCTCCTTCCATCGATCCCTGACCCCATCTGCTCCCCCTTCTCCATTCAGAAAGGGGCAGGCCTCCCATGGGAGTCAACAAAGCATATTATATCACATTGAGTCAGGATCAAGGCTGGGTGAGGTATCCCTGCATTGGGAATAGATTTCAAAAAGCCAAGTCATGCACCAGTGACAGGTATTGATCCCAGTGCTAGGGGCCCCACAAACAGGCCAAGCTACACAATTGTCATCCACGTGCAGAGGGCCTAGGTCAGTCCCATGCAGGCTCCCTAGCTGTTTGTCTAGAGTCTGTGAGCTCCCATGGGCTCAGAGGTCAACTCTCTCCATGGGTTTCCCCAGCATGATGTAGACCCCACTGGCTCATACAATCCTTCTTCCCTCAACTGGACTCCCTGAGTCAACTGGGTGCTCCAGAAACTCAGCCCAGTGCTTGGCTGTGGATCTCCCCATCTACTTCCATCAGTTACTGGATGAAGGCTCTGATGACAATTAGGGTAGTCACCAAACTGATTACAGGAGAAGACCAGTTCAGGCACCCACCCCACTATGGCTGGGAGTTTTAGCTGGGGTCATCCTTGTGGATTTCTGGGAGTTTTCCTGGCACCAGGTTTCTTCTTAACCCCATAATTACCCCATCTATTAAATATCTCTTTCATTACTCCCCCTCTCCTTCTTGCCCCCAACTTGATCAATCCTATCCCCCATGTTCCCATCCCCTCACCTTCCCCCACCCCCAGTTTACCCAAGAGATCTCATCTATTTCCCCTTTCCAGGGAAATCCATGCATCCCTCTTAGGGTCCTCTTTGTTACCTAACTTCTCTGGGACTGTGGATTGTAGCCTGGTTATCCCTTGTTTTACATTCAAGTACTTTCTTTATTAATGGGTTTAATCATCATAGTAACCATTTGAGGTAGGCTTGGTTATCCTTCCCATCTTAGCCTACTAGAGGGAGGGTAGATAAGCTGCCTATAGCATGAAGCTTATCAGTAACAGAATCATGGCATTTCTGGCATCCTTGATCCACTGTTCCTACAATGCTAGGTCACCTGGAATGGAGCAGCAAGTAACAGGAAAGATTAAGTATATTGGCTTCTATATGCCCCCCTTTTAAGTAGTTGTTGACTAACCGCAGATGGTGTTTGTAGGCCAGCAAGATCACTGTAGTCCAATACTTAGAACAGACATCACCAGTGGACCAGAGCATTGCCTTTTTTCTAACCTAAGTCCTTCTTAACACGTCTTCCCATGTAACTTACATATCAGTCAATCTGATCTGGAATTGCCCCAGAAAAAAGCCAGGAACAAACCACATGGTGCCCCTGTGCTAGCTTTCAACACAGTAAGTTACTGCAGCTGCCATATTTAAGGCGTTGGCTCTCTTCACAGCTGCTCCTACACAGGAGGAATATAAGCAGCTCTTGTATTCCTTGCCTGTGATGTGTTGAAGCCATTAAACACCTTGTCTGCTGTGTGTGTGTGTTCAGAGGAAGATAAACCAGAGGGCTGTCTTTCCATGTGTCCCCTGAGTCCTTATGATATGAAGTCACTAGTCACCTGTTCTGTTACATACATATCTGCTCCAGGACAATGTATTTGATATACTGGAGTTTGTTTTCATTTTTAGTAAAAGACTTTAGCTGGTAAGCAAAGACACTTAAAATGCTGAAGAAACCAAGGTCAAGATTGGGAGTAGGAGGTGGGTATAATCAAAACCCATTATATTCATCTATAAAATCCTCAAAGGAGAAAGAAAAATGCTTTCTTATAAACAGATTTTCTTTTGATTTGGTAACTATAGTAGTTTGAACAAGAATACATACACACATTCATATGATGAATACTTGGTCATCAGGGAGTGGATCAACTTGAGAAGGATTAAGAGTTGTAGCTTTGTTGGGGTAGATGTGGAGGATGTGTGCTATTGGGGTGGGATTTGAGGTTTAAATAACTCAAGCCAAGCTCTGGGGCTAGCTCTTCCTGATTCCTGCAGATCCAGCACCATGACTGTCTGCATTCTGCCATACTTCCCATCACGGTGATAATGTAAGTCAGCCCCAATTAAAATGCTTTCTTTTATGAGATGCTGTGGTGATAATGTCTCTTCTTAGCACTAGAACACTGACTAAGACAGTAACCAAAATAAACATTTTTCATAGGAAGAAAATGTCATTAAATTAAAATTTTATATTCATCTGTTAAGTATTTGTTTTTTCCCTCTGCAAACCTTTTCTATAGTAAATCTGTCAATTTTTAAATTTATGAACAATGTATGGTTCTTTATAATCACAAAAGCTTGTTGAGTTTTATTTTAAATGATTTTTCTGTTATTTCCAAGTGAATGCCTCTTATTTCTTATCCTCAATTATTCTAGTTTAAGAGTTTGAGTCACCTGCCAACTATTTTGTTGCTAAAAATGAACCCTAAGTATGAAATGGAATAAATTCAAGATTTTTTGCAGCTAATGACTTTTTAAAAAATATTTCCAGAGGTCTTTGGACAGCAATCAAAAATGCACTATTCTATTTATCATAAGATGTTCTTGGAGTGATTATATTCAATTGATGTTCTTATTGATGATGACAAAGGAAGTGCCAGAACAGATGACCATCGTTGCCCACATTAAGTTTGTTTAAAGGTTTCTGAAATTGTATTTTTGTGTGAGGTGCCTACTGTTCCTATTTACCCGAGGACACCAGGCAATCACACCACATTGTTATCAGTTGCTATTTTAGTTTTAAATATTTAAGATATTTACTCAGTCTTGTCTTTTCCTTCATTTTAATCTACCATCTCCTAGATCAGCAATTTTCAATTAGATGTGGCTATCAAATTCACTTAAGATGTATTTATTGAAATAAAGATATTAGAGGGTTCTGCTTTAGTGGAGGAAAGTCAAGGTCAGAAGGCATTAGCTCATATTTTTTTCTGAAAGTTCCTTGTCAATAGTGGCTGCTGCCTGGATCAGAAGTTTTGGTGGGGTTCTTGGAATGCTGCGCTCAGGGTGAGCAAGAGCAAAGCAGCCAGAGGGTTTTGTTTTGTTTTGCTTTGTTTTTTGTTTTTGATTTTTTTTTTTTTTTTTTTTTGGTACAAAAACCACGAAATGGACAAGGCAGAGAGCAGACAGTACAGATAACCTGCATGTCAGCAATGGGCTCTCAGCAAGACTGCTCCAGAGTCTCAAGTCATCATACTCCCTGGCTTTCCTTCTGAGGGTCCAGCAGGTGGAGCTGACTGACAGGGCAGGGCCGTTGGGTAGTTTTCTGTTTTGACTGGTAGGCTTAGATTGTGTAAACCTTTGCTTGCTACACATAGTCCTTCCCCGTGATGCATCTAATTTTCATCTAATGCATAGGGTAGTAGAGAATTTTCCCTAAAAGTTCATGCTGGGGATGTCACTTGCCCATCCAAGCCAGATGCACCCCTACTCCTGGTCCCAGGATGTATACTAGAATGTATTTGAATAGTTGCTAACCAGGAAAAGGGGGTTGCTAAGGAATTGGAAGGGATTACCAGGGCAAAGGAAGCAATTGTTTTCTTTGGAGAAGGATGTGTACATAGCTTGGTACAGGTGGTGGTCCTGAGTTGCTAACCACTTAGAGAGAGAGAGAGAGAGAGAGAGAGAGAGAGAGAGAGAGAGAGAGAGAGAGAGAGAGAGTCTGTCTGTCTGTCTTGTGTGTAGCTCAAGCTATATGATCCTAGTTTTCTAAGCTATCCCTATACTTGCTGCCTCCCATGATGTTAACACAGAGACCAAGGAGGACTCTGAAAATCCACTGGTTCCCCTATGTGACTTCATTCCATGTCTTCTTTTTCATGCTGCATAATGATAAATTACATTTCATAATCACATAATCTCTTCCTTTTACACTCCCATCCCCGGCAGATGCCAAGTCCCACCCATGGGTTTGTGTTTCTTTGTTTTTTGCTATCTTTCCAAGAGCTGGCCTGTGCTCTGCTGCTCAAGACCCCTCCTTCATGACCTTGTGCAGGCAAAGTCTTCTCTGGAAGCTTCCACCCACTTTGCTCCCTATAAAGGTAGACAGAATTGCCAGCAGAGCAGAGAGCCTGAGATCAGTGCAGAAACTTCCAGCTGTCTCCCTCCACCATGAAGATCTCCTCAGTGCTTCTGTGTCTGCTGCTTGTGGCCGCTGCCTTCACCTCCCAGGTGCTGGCTCACCCAGGTAAGTCCCTTCCTTCCTTTGAAGGATGTCAGCATTTACTCAATCCAGAAGGCAGAACTTCTCAGAGATTCACTGCTAACTCTGCAATTCAAAGATGGGACAAGGAACCTCGATCAGAGAATTGACAGTGATCCACCTCTCTCTCTCTCTCTCTCTCTCTCTCTCACACACACACACACACACACACTCACACTCACACTCACACACTCACACACACACACTCACACACACACTCACACACACACACTCACACACACACACTCACACACACACACTCACACACACACACACACACACACACTGAGGCAGGTGCCAAGTGCATCCACAGTCTCCCCTCACACTGTCTGGGTATGGCAGAGTGAACATTTGGACAGTGTGACATAGAAGGTCCTATTTTGGGGGAAAAGTTTCTGCAGGATTCTAAGACAGCAAAACTGGCAAAACTGGGAAGGGATCCCAAGACACCCTCTCAAATGGGTTCATCTTGACATCTTGACTCCGTTCAGGAACCTGCTGTAGGTGTTTGTGTCTTACCCCTTTTTTCCTGTCTTTGGATGACTTGCCTTTCTGGATGTGAGCTAATGCAAATCAACCGTGGCTCATTGCAAATAATCTCATTGCATGTGCTCAGATTTTGTACCTCTTACTCAGGTTCTCGGGCTGGTTAGGATAGCAAAGGAAAGGAGAGCTTCATGGGCAACACTTGCTAGTTCAGAAGTATCGCACGCCGTTTCATCTTCTTCCTTATGAACAAAACCGATTAAAGCCTCCAGCCAACAAAAGTGGCCAAGAGTGAAAGCCTACTTGTGCACAGAGAACAGACAATGGAGAATATTTGATGACTGGTTCTGAGACTATCACATCACTGTGCACTCCTCCTCTTAATGAGGAGTGTATCAGAGTGATGGGGCCTTTCTGTGTCTTGTGTTCTGGCCAGGAGAGAATGATCTTTGATGGTCATGTCTGGGATTTTGAATGAGTGCATTTATTAAGTACATAGCAAGCCAAAGTAAAGGAACACATGGAGAAAGCGAGAGAGAAAGAGAGCACAAAATATCAACTCTATTGTCCAAAACCTTCAGCAGAATTGACTAGGGGAGCCCCTTTAAGGCAGTCGTCTGGGGTTCCCAACAGATAGGGTCTCTCAGGTGAGGTTTCCAAACCAAAGAGCAAATAATAACGGAAAGAACAGTTAAATTGGGGGCTCACAATGCCCATCTGAATCTGACTGGAAAGTACAAACAGGGAGTTCCCTCTTTGTACTTCCATGGATGAGCTTTCCCATGGCTCAACATCTGGCTTCTCTTTCCAGCAATAAGTACTTTTACATCAGGGGATAAATGGTGATAAGCTCTCTTGGCAATATGTCGTTTTTTAACTATTCTTAAGGGCATAATATTTCATTCCTGGGTGTCTGGCTGTTCCTTCTTCCCTGTCACAGAGCAAAGCGATCTTGAAGAACTCTGTGAGATAGAGATGTTTTTGTCAGAAACTGAGGTGTGGAGGTGGGGTGGGGGGAGGGGATGGGCAAGTCCACTTCCAGAGCCATCTTGCAGTGATCTCAAACAAGAAGTAACAATTTAGCAATAGCTCTTAAATTGCCTGCATGTTGTTATATGGTGCTGCCATCTCTGTTACTACTTGCGAACAAGTAAAGTGGATTGATTTAACACACTGTGGGATGAATGTATGGCACTATATACTGGCAGCCCTCAGTAGAAGGAGGTGAACCTGGTGATGAGGAGTTAGCAGCTTTTGTCTGCTCATTTGAAGTTTTAGGGCTTAGAATCTGGGTGGCATCAGTCATAAATGAAGGATCAAAGAAACTAAGTAGAATTAAAATAAAAAGATGCTGAAGGGTCTATTGTCTTATGAATGATTTATGGAAGAAACATACCTCTTTAGCCATTGAAGGAGTCAGGGAGTGTAAGAAACTTTTTGCTAACAAGTAAATGGATATGGCTGGGTGTTTATCTGGAGTGTGTGTGTAGGGAGGTATCTTTTAAAGGAAAAGCATTAAGCCCTCAGCTGGCTTGTTGTTTTATAGTGGGCCTTTCTTCTTTGATAGTTTTGACCATCTTATGGAACATAGGGCTTAACACTGGCCAGGAGAAACCAGTCAGTAACAGAATTTGACAGCTTGCCCCTTTTAAACTGGCCAAAGCCAGTGAATGACTGTATTCACTGTGGTTACACTACCTTTTATGTGTTGGGTGTTTATGTGGTTAACCACAGAAAAACTTCTTTTTAAGTCACAGGATACTCTTTAGGGGATTGCTCTTGGGTGCTGGGTGAAGCGCCTTGGTTCCATTAGTTTACTTCCTTGGTTTCCTGTTACTTGTGCTCTCTGTAAGGATGGCTCAGAGCTTGCTGACCATATGGCTTCCTTTGGAAGCATAGGAAACACATCCTTCTCTGGAGACTGTCTGTTGCTGCGGGGTGTGTACTGCTTAGAGTCCAGTCTCTGGAGAGTCCATGGTTTCTCCAATAGAGAGGACTGGTGATTTGGAGAGATTCCCACATCCAGGTCCTAGCTTAACTTGGAGGCCAAAGGCTAAAATGTTGGCTCTAGTTTCTGGCCTTCTTCCTGCTGCTATAGACCTCCAAGTTGTGTTAAATCTTGTGTGACATTTAAATAAAGGTTAAACAAAAAATTTTTAAACGAATCCTGATTTTGCTAAAACATAGTTTTCCCAAGTATGAACCAGTCTAACAAATTTAGCAAAGACACAAGTAACTACATTGCATATTTGGCTTTTGATTTTTTGTAAATGTTGCCACAAGCAGATCAATACCTGTAGAAATTTTAAGAACTTCCTGTCATCAAACCTACAGGATCATTAAGTCCCATCCTCCATGCACCTTGTACAATTCATTGATACCTCATGTAACTTGGATTTGAGCTTTTATTATTTTGTCTTATCACACAAAATCCATATTTATTTTTTAAAAAATTTCCCACTTAATAAAAATTTAACCTCATATTTACATTCTTTTAAAATCCTCCATTTCATCTAGTTACTTTAAGAATTCATTTCTGTAAATAAGAATTGAATGTAAATTATATACATGCTACTGTGTATGCTTGACCATACATATTACTAAGTTACCATGGTTTTTTACTTTGGGCTTTTGTTTGTCTGTGTTTGTTTGTTTCTATTGTTTTTAAGGCAAGCTGTCTTACCATTTAAGTTTTTTTTTTTTTTTTTTACCTTTCTCCTCTCTGGTTTTACCATCCTGAGAATGCTCTAGAGCTATGGCCAGAGACTGCAGGGAAATCAATGGCCTTGATCAGTAATGAACACTTTATAAACAAGAAAAGGCCAAAGGAAATGTTTACAGAGAGGCAAAATCTTTACATGTTAACCTCGAGATTATAGTTTTAGGCAGAGAAGATGGTTGATCCCTGTTTTAGGGGTGGACACATGAGAAGGCAGGGGTCCATGGGTGCATCTTTACTCCCTCCATCACTGGCCCCCCATTGTGTATATCTCCTTTCACTTTTTATGAGAGTCACTCCTCTAAAACAGAAATGGCAATTCACAAATCTTGCCAACAATTATATTCCATATCATTGGTTTGTGCAGAGTACTTCTTAAACACATACCAAATCAAAGTAATATTAAGAATAAAAGACACACACACACAGAGGTAGGAGCAGGATACCCTCAGATCCAGTGCTCAAAACACCCAGTAGCAATCAACCTGGGGGAGGGAGCCTTGCTGAAGCTGTCAATTGGTGTTCCCAGGGACAGAGTAGAGTGCCCCTCCCTGGAGAGAAAATATAAGAGAAAGGTAACATCAAACTGGGAGCTGAAAACCAGCAGAAACTGACTGTGGAAGCCCCTGAGTCAGTCAGCTGAAGTCTCCCACTGAGTACTTCTGCATGGCTGAAGCTTCTCCATGTCCTGTTAGGAACAGTCTCCATTCTAGCTGTTCTCTAGGACACACTACTGTCCCTTGTCATCTGTTCTGCTATTCTTTCCCCTCTGCCACAGAGTTAGATGCTCATGCACCCCCTTCGCCTCCAGACAAGTCTGAAATGAAATCTGGCTTCCTCCGGGGCCAGATTCTCAGCAAGCTCAACAAAATACCACAGTTTAACCAATATAATGTGCGTTACACCGTGTTGCAGGTGATGGGGACCATGGGGGAGGGGAGTGTCCCACATCAAAGGTACAGGGCTTCATTATTTCACCTCTACCTTGATTTCGCCCTTACCTTCTCCTAACTTTTTTCCTACAAAGTCCTGTTTGAAAATACCCATGGATCACAGATGGCTCATTCTCCTATCCATTTCTTTCTCCCCAAATTTAGGCTCTATCTCAGCTTCCTGCTGCTTTGTTATGACCAATAAGAAGATCCCTAAGCCACTACTGAAGAGCTATAAAAAAATCACCAACAGCAGATGCACCCTGAAAGCCATAGTGTGAGTATACAACCCTTCCCCCACCCAGACACACAAACCTCTGGCTCCAAACTTATTTCCAAGGCACACAGTCAAGAGCTGTGTCCTGATTAACAGCAAACAGACAGTTTGACAGCTGTAACCCAATCCATGAGCTTTCATAGCACAACTAATTTCATCCCAGCTCTCTCCACGGGAGCTGTTTCCTGGCCAAGTTAGATCTTTCAAGTAGAGAGAAAATATACTGGACCATCAAGAGCAGAAGCCAAGCCTGGAGCCCCATCCTTCCTCTGTCTATTGTTTTGTACCCCTGTGACCTTTACATCCCATAGCAACTGATCCAGGAGGGTCTGAGGAGGAAAGGGGAGACTTTTCAGAGTATCCTCCTGACTGTTTGCTCTCTTCTGCAGCTTCAAGACCAAGTTGGGCAAAGATATCTGTGCTGATCCCAAGCAGAAGTGGGTTCAGGATGCCATTAAGCACCTGGACCATATCCTCCAAACTCAGAAACCGTAAACAATCCTGCCTTTTGAGACTAAACCAGAGCCAAAGAAACACTTGATTCAATCTCCATTCCCAAGATCTGCTCTTGGGTCATCTCAACATCATTCCCCAAGAATTCGGCTTCATTTAGTTATGGGTGGAACTGGAAGTCATTATGTTTGGTGAAATGAACTAGACTCGAAAAGATTGTGTAATTTCTTAAATCTACAAAATCTTAAAGGGGGATATGAAAGTAGATGCCAGATTATTGAGGAATGCGATGGAATAGGATGGAGGATAATTAAAAGGTAAATACAATCAAAGCAGCTTATGGACATGTGTGAAAATGTCATAATATAATCCATTCGTTTGCACAATTAATATATACTAATTAAACTATTAATATTTTAAAACATGTTACATTTATTTTTCATTGATAGCTGTTCTTTTTGTTGTTTGTTTGTTGGTTTGAGACAGTGTCTCACTGGATCACTCTGGCTGACCTAGAACTCAATATGTAGGCCATGCCTAGAACTCAATAGGTGACCAGTCACAGAGATCTATCTGTCTCTGCTTTCCAAGTGCTGGGATTTTAAAGGCATTTGCCACCATGCTAAGCCAAAGCGTTTTGTATTAGTATAAACTAATTATACATAATAAAATATTTCACAACAACCTTTTCCTACATGTCATTTTTAAGAGTTAAACCTTTGAGGAGATTCTTTTGTGTGAGTCCTGATTAAGTCTTCTTGTGGTCTCCCCATTTACCTGGTAAAGCCCACCATTGTGGAAGTGTTTTTGTATTGTCAAGAGGATGTTGTTATTGTGGATATAAGGTGTGTGGTGTTAAATAGAAATGAACTTGTTTGGGCATTCATAAAATTCTTGCATCTTATTATCACTAAGTTGTGTCTTTTGTTTTTGTGTTGGGGTATTTTGTTTGTTTGTTTTTCTTTTTCTTTCTTTTCTTTTTTGGGAGGGGGTGGAAATCTCATTCTGCGTGGGTGGGGTAATGCTGGCAGTGGGAAGAGAACTGTTTGTGAGGTGGGGCTGTGCTTCTCACAAAATGACTCTTTGACTTGGCTGGTGTCTATTGAAATCCAGATGTTCCATTCTGGTCCTAGGATTCTTGCTTCTATTAGCAAGGTCTCAACTACACACACACACACACACACACACACACACACTCACACACTCACACACACACACAAACACACTGATCCAGTCACTCTGTAGGCTTCCCCCATAATACCTGTGCTCAGGCTGTGAGACCTGCTCCTATCAACATGGTCCCAATTTCAGGATCCTCAGTCAGTCTCTCTGCTGGGATCCTCCACCATGATGGAAGGTCATGCTTGTTCCAAGTATCCCCTGTGACCCATTGCAACCACCTGTGGTAAGTTCCCACATGGACTTTACTTCTCTGTCTTGTAACCCAGACCACACAGACAATGCAAACATGGGGAAAGATGAGAAGCCAGGTGACCCTGGACGGCAGGCTTGGATAAAGGCTTCACAGGCATATTACCTGACAAAAGCCATCATAAGGAGGGAAGAGCCTATTTTGGCTGAGAATTTGAAGGTAAAATCCATTGTGGTGGACAATATGGCAAGAGCACATTTATCTGCAGCTACAGGAGGACAAAGCAGCTGATCTCACAGGACCTGCAGTCAGGATGCAAGATTGATGCAGACTAGCATTTCACTCACTTCCTCCTGCTTGAGCATCCTGGCTTATAAATAGTGTTGCCCCTCCCCCTGGGTAGATCTTCCTTCCTCATTTCAACCTTTCTGGAAATCCCTTCACAGACAAGACCAGAGGCATCCCTCCTATGTGATTCTAGGTTCTGTCTATATTAAAAGATGAGGTATCACAAGATTAAGCTATGTGTAGATGCATAAACAGTGGGGGTCTCCAGGAGGCATAACCATCCAGACCGAGAAGAGTCATTGCTTCAGCCAATACTTAGGAGTGAGTGACACTTATCAAATTCACTGGCTATCTCCCCTAGGTACATATGTTTGAGGTGGTGGGAAAACCAGGAAAGAACATGGAGACCAGGCTGTCAGCTTGGGGAGTTCAAAATGTGGTTAAGTAGGGTGAACATAATCTTTCATCACCCAAATTGGGGTAGTTTTCAGAATGAATGTGAGCTATGACCAACTTCTCTTAGAAAACAGATACAATCTGGTCAGTAAACCATTACTCTGGTCAGAACACACACTGTTTCCAGTTAGTGAGAAGAGAAGGTTTGTGGCTAAAGAAACTTCAGGAAAAACAGGTGGCTATGGGCAGAATGTTGAGAGGAAGAGGGAGAAGTAGTCGACAAATTACATTAGGTAGGCAAGAAACTGTGTGTCTGTGCATGGGGCGGGGGTGATTGCTGGTAGATAGACAGGGAGAAGGCAACTACAATAGTCCAATGCCAGAAGAAGAGCTGCATGTTGAGAAACTGGTGACAGAAACTTCCCAAACTCCACCAAGCTTCAATTAAAGCTACTCTCTAACATAGCAGCCTACAAAGAAAGGCACTAGACTCAAGCTTCACACATTTGAGAGAACCCAGCTGAAGGGACATGAAGGGACATGCTTCCTGGGTAAGCAACTCAAATTTGTGTTCTTCAGTATCTCAGATGGACCAGCATCTGCCTTCATATAACTCTGGTGCCTAGCCTTTGAGACCAGCTCTGTCCGCAGGGGTTGAATAGGTTGTAGCTGCTTACTTATATAACTGCATCATCTGAAACGGCCAGTCCTGGCCTGAAGCTTGCTGGGTTAGGCTATGTAGAGTAGGGTCACTCCATTACACAGCCCCAAGTGACACCACCACACCAAGCTCTCCTGGGACCATGGTCACCATGACACAAGGCAATAAAGAGTTCAGCATCACTTGGGAGAATGTTTTGGGAGGTGGGTGATCTCAGTTTACAACTGTAAATGATCTCTCCTATTGTTATTTGGGGTCTTTTTAGTGTTAGTCTGATACTTTCTTTTGGGTAGGAAACTAAGGACTCAAGCTAATAACCCTATAAAATCATCCACAGTGAGAGCAGTCTCTTTATGAAATCATGATTTCCACTCATGGCTGGCAGAGGACACTACATGCTGAGTAACTAGGATCCCTAGTCTATCTTATACTGAACCTTTCTAGAAAGTTTTCTGCAAGACAGCTTCTAGTAGCAACTACATAATAGCTCCCATTCAAGAAAGAAATGTTCCTGACTTCACATAAAAGCCCTTTATCTCTTCTATAGCCTAGAAGACCATCTCTCCACACCAACCAGGGATGAGATGCATGCTCTGGAGACACATAGCAGCCATCAAGTAGCCTTAGGGCAGCCCACTGGGCAGTCCACAGATACCTCCTGTGCCAATCAAATATCAAGGAGACATCAGAAAAGAGGAACAAAGAGGAGAGACACCCTTTTTATGTGAAGGATTGAATAGGATTTGGTTACACTCCTCATAACAAGCTTTCTCTCCTACCTTTTGAAGAATCTTGACTCCATTTCACCTCTGGCAGATCACAGCATGAATTGTCTCTGGAACAGAAAGTCTGCTGTACACAGCACTGTGCATGCTGGAGCCTTCGTCCACTATACAGACTCCCAACAAAGGCCTGGGCTGTCACTGGTCTCTCTAGGAAGGAAACTCCTGGATGATAATATTCAGACAGAGTACTGTAAAGTGAGGAAAACAGATAATTTTTGTCATGATGTAGTCACAGTCAGCTAATCCTGCAAAGAGCACCAGAATAAGGCTAACCCAAAGTGTGGGGCCTGGCTCTTATATACCCCATTTCTTGTCATGGCTCAAGGCTTCAGGAGAAGGTCCTGTGGTGGAGACCTAGTCAGAGCTGTTGGCAGCTCACACACTGAACGAGAGGGAAAACCTGGGCATCACAGCAGACACCATTAGAGTCCTCTCTTATCTCTGTTCAAATGCATTTGCTCACATTTGATCTAGAAAATCCTAGAAGTCTTCTGAGCCCCACCTCACCCCCAGAAAACTCATAAGAGAAAGCTTCAATCTCCTTCCAACCACTGTGGCTATGGGTGCTCTTGAGTCTGTAAATGGTGCTCACCTTCCTCAAATCCTCATTTTACAGTTGCCCCAGCCTCAGCCAACACCTAAGCTAGGCCAGGAAGCTCAATTGCCTTGTTGACTGAGACTCTCCCTGCACGAGGATTGAACCTCCAGCCATCTTGTTCTTCTGAAGGAGCACAACCTAGCGACATGCCTCATTTGCTGCAGTGCATCTGCTATTCTACAGTGAAGTGAAGTGGGACATTACAGCAAGGGGTCCCAGGAAATGGTGCTGGCTGAGGGACTGGAGCCAAAAATGGCAAACTCACACCTGGAAATTGTTTGTTCCAGTTAAGATGAATCATTGCCATTTTCAGGGTAGAACCTGTACACATTAATCAGATGCAAGGTTTCTGCTATAGCTGGTTAGGTTCCTGGATGGATGGTCCCACAGCAGGGCTCAGCATTAGCCTCTGTTACTAGCCTCCCATGCTGTCAGCTACATCAATCTTGGTGGGCAGGAGCCCTTGCCAAGGGGCCCATGCATTATATAAATCTGCTCCTATGACTGGTTTAATCATGTTCCCATCATCCCAGCACTGTGTTAACAAATACCAGAGGCTGGTCAGTATTGGTCATTGGCCCATTCTGTTCCCTTGAGGTCAGTATATCTTCATGCTGTCTTGAAGAAAAAATGCACTATGCTTTCCCATTGAGGTTCTGTTTCTCTTTGATCAGGCCCCTTACAAACCATCCTGACCAGTAATCGTTATCCATGACCACACAAATAGTCACATGCCACACAATGATGCTCTGGTCAATTGCAAAGAGCATGCAGGAGGAGAGGGTCTGGGAGACCATGTGTAGAGAGACACACCTAAATGTGGCAGTATCATAATTCCTTGGCATGAATCTGCTTTTGGTGCAGATACTGTGAACATTGTTGAAGTGATAATAGAGGGGACTTTAGGATCTCACATAAACTTAGCAGATGACATGGCATGGGGTTTACAAGGGTTTGCTTTTGAACAATTTTAAAAGATCTGCTGCATATAACAAACTGTTGAGTGGTGTTACCCATCGCAGAGAAATCCTCCATGAAAGAAAAAGTCAACACAGCAAATTCTACTGCTGTCTCAGGGAGGCTGGAGAGATGACTCAGTAGCTAAAAACAATGGCTGTTCTTCCAGAGGATCCAGGTTCAGTTTCCAGCACTCACATGGTGGTTCACAACTGCCTGTAACTCCTATCCCAAGGGATCTGATGTCTTCTTCTGGTCTCTGAGGGCATTGCATGTTCATGGCACACACACACATATGCAAGCAATACCCATCTGCATAAAATGAAAGTAAATAAATATAAGAAAAAATGTTTACTTCAGCCACTCCAACATTTAACAGCCAGTCATCAAATCGGTTGGCTTCCATTGAGAACCATTCAACACCTTCCACCAGCAATAAAAGGTTATAACTCACTGAAGGCCCTGATGTTCATTAGCGTTTCAACAATAAGATTGATTTGAATGCATGTACACTGTTTTCAGACATGATTCCAGTACATGTTTAATGGATCACAGCAGAATCTAAAAAGCTAAATTTTGTGTGCATTGAGAAATTACAACAGAATTCATGTGCCTGTCTTCTCTGGG